CATTTACTAGGCTGTAATGTATTATTCCAGTTTCTAGAATCGAAAAAAAAAGTACAAATGTTCTTTGTATCCCATTTCTGTCACATTCTCTGTAGACTGTAGCCAAGAGGCAGGAGGGAGGTCGGAGGAATCACATGTTCTTTGTGACAAGTACAAATTCCCCTGACTATTACCAAAAGAAAGAAAGAAAGAAAGAAAGAAAGAAAGAAAGAAATTAAAGGTAGCTATTAATAATAAACTTGACTATTGCCCTGCTGGGCGGCTTTGATTCTAATTTATTAAATTTTCGTTATAGCAGAAACAAACAATTGATTAAAATACCATAAAAGAGGCCATTCATCAAAATAAAGTCGTCGTTTGAATATCGGACCATATTCATCTTGATTCTAACGTGCACGTTTGACTTCAATTATATGCTATGTTTCAAATCTACAACTTGTGCGATTTTCTGATGTTTTTGGAAGGGAAAACAAACTACAATGTTTTAGGCATGTTAAGCTATGAATAATATAGAACAATTATTGACTTTCAAAATTGTCGTGTAACTTCTTATGAATCTTATGTTGGTGCTTATTGATAATTTGTCATCTGTCAACAATCAAATAGAAAAATATTTTTTGGTTGATCCACCATCAATAACTTTGTTTTCAAAAGTTCCATGACAATTTTTTTTTTCCAAGGCAAGCCCAAAGGGCATGGGACAAAGACGCGACTCAGATACAATAAGGACTCCAAAATAAATGCGGTAATCCGTAAGCAAGCGGATTCCCGATGAAAGAGCCGGTTATAGCCACTACATGGGCAGCTCTGTTAAAGCTCCGAGGAGCAAGTGACACGACACTGACTCAAGAAAAGAGAAAAAAAGAGCACTTCCTCCAAGACATCTCCTCGAGAATGTGTAGCATTCTGATAACCAGTTGATAATTTCCTCAAAAGAAAAAACAAGAGATTATTAGTAAATCACCATTTAGTAGGCATCATTAATACCATGAAAATATACAAAAAACAAAAGGCCTTGACTGATAGACTGATGAGGGGATTGCACTTTCTTCATGTTTTCCTTTAACCTGATCAATCCGAAAGGGATCCACTAAAGTGCTAGAAATCTCTATCCAAAGAGATTAAAGTCTATCATTGAGACAAAGTCGGAAATACCGAATATACCACATCGAAGATGCGATTCAACCTTTCAGAGAAAATAAATTATAGGAAATAAATAATATAAATATACAAAATAAATAATAGTCCCCTTAGATAAGGGAAATAAATGAAATTTTTAAATAAAGAAGGTAACTAAAAGGTTCTAATATTAAAAACCATGATTTGACACCTCGATAGATAAAGTAAAAGATATTTCAACAGGAAAAAAGTCCCATATTTAATATCATATATTTAAAATTAAATAAAATGTAATTTACTCATACTACCCAATTTTAAATTTTGGCTACAAAGATAACTAGATGATATAATACGTGGTTCGAATCCTGTCTTTAAACCAAATTGTTAAGAAGTTTTCAAAATCAATACTAGTTATTACATCAATTAAGGACAATTTTGGAGTGAAATGTAATGTAAGAAATTTGAAATTAAACGTGTGCTTAGTATGAAACTATGTAAAGATGAATGACCTCTGCGAACCTTAATTAAGAGAGAAATAGAGAAGCTCTGATACAACTTGTAATGTCCCAACTTTTTCTGATCAAAATATTGTCCACTTTGGACATACCCCGCACTATTTGCTTTTGTTTACATTATGATGACTTCCCAGAAGGTCATTCATCTTTGCTCTGCTCCATACTAAGCACGTTTAACTTCAAAGTTTTACAAGAACTCATCCATTTTACTTTAAAACTCATGTTGTTAGTTAAGGTTGGATGTTTATCAGTGAATCATAGATTTCCTCTATGTTTTGTTGATATTGTCCGCTTTAAACCTACCCCACACGGTTATGCTTTTGGGCGCATCATGATGAATTTACGATAGGTCAACCATCTTTGCACTATTCAATAATATACACGTTTAACTATAGGGGTCGTTTGCTTAATGGATTTAAAAATGAGGGTTTTGTGATTTAAAACCCCAAAGATTTATCAAGGATTTGAGACATTATGGATTTGAAACAATTCTTTGTTTGTTGAGTTGTATTTATAATGGATTTAAAGGTTTGGGATTTAGAACTTAAAGTCCAAAATTAGATTATTATCATTTTCTATTGTTTGTCATATTTATGATATGTACTCATTATGGATTTGTGACATGTAACAAATCCCACATCAATATTAGGAACTTACAAGTCTGTGTGGTCCACGGGTTTGGACCCTTAAAATCCGTGGGTCCCACATATTTGATCACTAACGTTTGCTTCGTGGATTCTAAAAATGAAGGTTTTACTAAAACTTGGGTTTTGTAAAACCATGGATATATGAGGGTTTTGGATTCATTATAGACTTGATAAATAACATTGTTTGTTTCATAGATTTCATGATGGATTTGGTTAATTAGATTTCTATGTATAAAGTGAAATTGACCTATATTGCCCTCATTTATATGAGAATAGAAAGGAAATAAAAAGGGCAAATTGGTCATAAATGATGGACTTGGAAGTCCATGATCAATTCTCACCTAAAGTGGTGGAACTTTCAAGTCCGTGGACTCTTAAAGTTCATGGGACCCACATAGTTGTTGCCCCTAAATGCAGGGGTGAAAATCAGTACGGTATCGGTATCCCAATACCAAATGCCGAAATCCCGAATACCGAATTACACCCTATAGTCAATCTCAATCTCAACCCCTAAATAATTTCAGTATCCCAATCCCAATCTCTAAATATTTCGGTATCCCAATCGGTATTTCGGTATCCCAATCGGTATTAGATTTGATTGTTTAATTTAGGACAAAGTGACTAAGCAAAGAGTCTTGAGTTCGCCTAGAGCTAGGATATGGATAAGGAGAATGAATAAGAGGTGACATCTCAAAATTTTGTCACTGGTAATCTTTAATTTGACGAATTGAACGCTGAGAGACGACTAATACTAGTGTTTGCTTTTTGGTGTTATGAAAATAACAAGAGATAAGGTGAGAAACGAGAGTTACTTAAACTGGAAAGTCAAAATTGAGTTGGATGGGGGCTTCTAAGTTGTGAAAGAGTGAGGAATGACAAAAGGTAGTGTGCTATATTTCATTAATTTTTAAAGTTCGGTATTTCTCGGTATTTCGGTATATACCGATCCCAATCCCGTAATCCCGAATACTGAATAGCACTCCAAAATGAATCCCAATCCCAATCCCTAAAAAATAAGTCGGTATTCGGTAATACCAAATAGTGATAAATTCGGTACGGTATTCGGTATATCCCAAATACCGGTACCAAACTTCCAGCCCTACCTAAATGCATCAAGCAAACAATGGAGTTTGAACAAAATCCATGATAGATTCAAATCCATCAGCAAATCCATCATGAAATCCCTCTTGCAAACAACCCCAAAAAAAGTGTAAACAAACTATGAATTTCCCTTTGGGTCGTTTGGATGAGGAATTGTAACATATCAATTTGACACAATTGTCTCGTTTTGAGACAATTGTCTCGTTTTGAGACAATTGTACCAAATTGCCTCATTTGTCAGCAAATATTTGGATGGATTAATCTGCCTGAGGTATTTTGAATTGATCCGTTTTGACTTTTGAGTCAATTTCAATTGCTTGGGGGTGGGGGCAAGTAATTCGAATTGACTCGTTTTAATTGCCTCGTTTATAAAACGAGACAATTGATCAAATTGACTCATTTCTAGATTGATCCATCCAAACGACCCCTTAAATCCATGATGAAATCCAAATCCACAAAGCAATCGACCCCTAAGATTAAATATTTATTACGAATCATAGATCTCTCACGTAATTTGTCAATGTGAGATTTGACTAAAACGTTAGGTTTAATGGCCTATTTTATTATTTTGAGATTTTCTAAATTAAAAAAAAAATCGCTGCATAAATGATTAAATGGTCACACCGATTTTAATTCCACCATAAAGTGGGTAAAATCAACATGAAGAAGAAATGCATTATTCCCCTAAATCCCTCCAAACAATTAAAAGCCCGTTCCCTCCTTCCTTGCTTCATGCATTTGCCCAAGAGACCGACAATTTTTGCAACCACTCACAAAATCCCCCAACGCAATCCTCCAAAAAGGACAGCAACCCCAGACAGTGAGAGAGGGAGAGAGGGAGAGAGATCTTCACCCTTGGACGTATTCTGGGTAAGAAATTTGCAAGCTGTTACCGATAACTTCGACAATCAACCACTCCCCTGATTTTGGCCCTTCCTTCCACAACCGCACACAAGAAAGAAGCTTCCCTTTCTCTAACATTCGGCCCGCCATGGTTAATGCCTGTGCTCACTCTCTCTTTCCATAATAGCAGCCCCCACGGCCCACGCCTCTCAAATACCCATTAAACTATTCTTTCCCCCCCTTCTCTCTTCTCTTCCGTCCCTCTCTCTGTCCTCTGTGCCTGCAGACGAAAGTCGGCATATCATATATATATATCATCGAGAAACAGGGATCCTCTTCATTCTGATTCTGCCGGCTCAACCGGAGCTAAAAGGAATCAGCTTGCCATTCTTCTCCAAACGGCAAAAGACTGAGACCTGAATCAACCCCGACCAGACCCGGATTCTGATTTTGGTTTTTTTTTTTTTTGTCTTGGAGTCGCCTGCACACAAAAAAGGCCTTCAAATTCTTTTCTTGCTGCAGAGGTACGCCTCCATGACCTTTTAATTGTCACTAGTGTTTTTCCCCGCCCTTCTTTTTATTCCTTCCACTTGTCGCCTCTGCCTCTGTTTTTCTCCCCACTCTGCAGGCATTAGATGCTCAGAACTCTGCTCTCTTCCTTCCCTTTCCATTTCTGAACATATATTCTTTCTTGCCTTCCTTCCAATTTCAGTTTTATATAAGTTATTGTACACATCTTCTTCTCCAAGAATTACGAGAGCGGGAATTGAAGGAAATGGGGTGTGGAGAGAAATGGGTCCGGAGTTCTGAATCGGAAGAGCAAGGAGAGGAGGAGGAATCACTGTCGCTCTGCGACTTGCCAGTTAATTTACTCGCAGAAGATGAAGAAGAAGAAGCAGAAGAGAAGCCATTGTTGTCGCCTGATGTGGGTGAAGAGGTTCGGTTAGATCCTGGGCTGAATTCGACGAATTCGGAAGATTTCGATTTCGGGCAATTACTGGGTAGCTCAATGGGATCGAAATCCTCAAGCTCCGAGATGTGTGCCGCCGATGATATCTTCTTCCAGGGGCAGATTCTCCCGTTCCGTCACTCAATCAGCTCGGAGAGCGGCAGCGGCGTTCACCCGTTCAAGCCTGCCGTCCAACGGCAGGGCAGTTTGAGTGTCAGCAGGTCAATTTCGCGGTCGGAATCCATGGACCGGAGCTCCTCCAGTGGTGGGTTCACCAGATTCAGCAGCAGGAGTAGCAGCATCAACAGCCATTACTCATCGTCGTCTTCCGCCAGCACCAATTCCAACTCCAGCTCTGCCCGTCCAAGGATTGTAAACCGATTCCACGCGTTCCCGAGTCCGAAACCCCAAATCCTCAAAACCCCCAACGCTCCGCCGCTGGGAAGCGCCGCGGGGGCCGCGAATCGGTCGAAGAAATCGTCAATTTGGGAAACTCTGAGACTGGGTTTGGTCCGCGCCCCGGAGATGGAATTCCAGGATCTCAAATCGAGAAGCTCCGTCAGCCGCAACAGCAGCACCGGCAGCAACAAGGCGGAGAAACAGGGGACCGCCGGCAAAAACCCGCCCCCGGCGCCGGCAAAGACGAAGAGATCGTATTCTACCGGGAGGCTGCTCGGCGGGTGCGATTGTACCGTCGGAGCGGTTCAGCCGGTGGCATTGAACCACGAAATCATCGTGGCCGTAAAGGGGAGTAAAAAGAAGCATCGGGATGACCGCCGGCGTGATAAACAGGGCTCCGGCGAGGAGGAAAACAAAAGCAAGACGACTAATTCGGGAATGATGTTGTCGACGTCGACGGTGGGAAAGGAAAAGGAAAAGCGGCCGCTAAGGGGAAAGCAAGAGGCGTCACGTCATCGGACGGTTGAGTGGATAAAGAAGCTTTCATCACATGGTGGCTTTTCTGTCGTGGGAGATCATGAGGAAGATGAGTGAGTTGGAGGAGGAGGAGAAGAAGAAGAAGGCCACCATTGCTGGCTCGTGAGTGACAGCCACTGAAATCCCACAAATGGCTTCGCGTGCTTTTGGATTCCCCACTTTTTCTTTTGGGCCTTTTCAGCCTTTTTCTAACGATTCAATTGTCTTTTGGGTGGGTGGAGAGTGGAGCCTTTAGTTTAAATTTCTTTGGTTCTTTCATGGGAGGTTAGAACTTAGAAGGTGGCAATCTATGCAACAAAAAAGGGAGTGGTGATTGTATCCATGAAAGAAAATGATTAGTGTAGCTGACTAGATTGTATTATATGTATGCTTCCTCAGGTGGGCAAGCCTAAAGTGATTGGGAATGAGATATATTATCAGCAACATTCTTCTATTCATTCAAATTTAGTAAAAAATGTGTGCGTGGAAGGTTTTAGAGAACTATTTTGATAAAAAGTGATCGAATGTTTGGCTGTTAAACTATCGAAAGTACTTTTTAACATGAGAAGTGACGTAACAATGTCTTATAAATGATTTTATTATTAGATAGGACAAGAAAATAGTAAATAGTAAAAATGAATCTTGTTTGAAAGACAACAATGTGCTAAGTAGCAAACTAAAAAAGCAAAATAGAGTTTTACATATGAATCTATACTAAGGCCGATCCTATTACTGTACAGTTACGTCAAAATTCTGTTACTACCAGCTAACTTTTACTACAACCAAACGTAAGTGAGACTAGTTTGTGACAAAGCCTTCGCAAACCTAATTAATAATGGTACACGAAATATTGAGTAGTGCAAAAACACCGTTCTATCGGGAAATACCTGTGAAATACCGTTATTTTAAGTTTTTCTTTTAAGTAACGGTTTTTTTTTTGAAATAAAAATTCGTATAGAAGTCATATATGGCCTTTGGGTGATAGAATCCCATGTTCTCATGGACCAATGTCTAGATTCTAGTATGTGAATAGTGTCAGTTTCTTGTGAAAGTTATTTAAGGCATCTTTCATTTCGTGTGAGGTAGCACGACAATAAAGAAGGGAAATGGTACAATAAAGAGAGGAAAATGAATGATGGAGAATGAATGGCATGATGGATAGGAATGATGCAAAAATAAATTTGGCATTTTAGGGGTGGAGGTGGCGGCGGGGGACAGATGGTGGAGGAGGACAAAAGACGTCGGATTTTTCCAGGTTCGTCAGGGTGTGGTGGGAGTTGCATAAGGATTAAGAACACCACCTAGTTTTTTCTTCTTCTGAATTTATCGTATTTTTAATTTTTAAACATCTCACTAATTAATCCTATAAGATCAATGTACATTCATGCATATAATTTAGGTTGTCGTGCAATTTGATTAGTCAAATCTTTCCCCTTAATCTCATTAATTAATCACTCATCATTGTGTAATATGCTAAACAAAATATTTTTATTATGCAGAGAGAAGAAGAAACGAAACTATCATTCCCTTTCAAGAGATGAAGAAGAAAAGGTTAGCAAAGTAAATTGCACAACTCAATATTTCGTGTCTCAATTACTAATTAGGGGGATATCGCTGGAAAGTTTATCAAGAAAAAGGAAAGTCTGGAGATTCAAAGAGTTGGTCGTTGCAGACTCGGAAGAAGTATAAAAAGCAGAAGGAGAAAGAAGCAAATCGTTAAGAATGCGGAGAGAGTTGTTGTGAGGTCAAAGCAACTACAAACTGTGTGATTAACAATATGTGTTTTGTATATGTTGGCACCATTTATAGAGAGTTCCATATGAGTCTAGAAATGTGTGGAAATACTTTACTTGGATGCTAAGTTGGAAGATAGCCAAAGTGATTATGCTAGAGAATTCTAGTCCTACTTTATCTCCCAAAAAATCTTATAGAAGAGCCTATAAATATAGCCTCTCGGCTTTTAATCGATACATAAGTTGTACAGGATGTGACTATGAAAACAGAAAAACTCCTCGTTCCCTAAATTATCAGAAAACTCAAGGGCATAACGGTGGCAGAATTGGCGCCCTACACCGTCAATTTCTCTTCTTGCCGTAGTTTTTTAGAGATTTTTGGAAATCTTGTCTTCGACTGATGTTATCCCTAGCTCCTGTCCACATGAGTGGCTAGTTCGTCAATTGTCTAAGTTTGTGAACCCTAGAGGTTCTTTAGACGATTTAATTGCAAAGGCTAGTGTACACTTGAAGTACGCTCTACACCTGGTTCACACTTGTTATATGAACTTTGACATATTTTAATAAATCAGAACCGTCAATTACTATTTGTTTAGCTTAAATGAATTTTATGGTTCGTGTTAGAGAATTAGGCCAACTTCATCCCTGGAGGCATCTCAATATCCATATTCATTTTACAAACCCAAAAGCATGTCCCTTACCGATTGAGTAAGGAGACATGCGAGGCACGAAGGAAATACGATCCTAGTTACAAACCATGTAAATTTGACCCCTTGTTCTAAAACAGATAAGTGAGCGTAGTGATTCTCTGTTTAGCGACGAGTGTGCGAATATGATAAAATGGACGATCTCATTGCTTATTCTGTAAAAGGGTTTAAGTTCTACCCAAATGAACTCAACTTGGAGCCAACATAAATCAATAAGACAAAACCCTAGGAAATTAGGTCTCAAAGGGCGGACACCTTTGAGTCGAGACGTAAGTAATAGGTTGAACTCGGTTAATATGAAGTCTTGTGGCATCTTCTTCCCTCTACGCCTCTTTTCAATATATTTGATGCATACTATGTTTTTGGTTAAGACTCTGTTTTATAAGGATCGTTGAAGGCGGGAAACATTACATATTTAACAAGTTGCTATGTCTTCGGACTTGACGAGTGGACTGGGCAACTAACAGTGGGCTAGCTCAAAGTCCAAAATCTGACAACTCACTATACCTCTATGATGACACTTGACTTTCGGTCATAGGTAGTGGATCATAAGAAGCTTATAAGGGCAACCCTTGCACTTAGAAACCTTTGACACTTGTAATGATGTGCAAACGTACTTTGTAAGGACGAAATGATTCGTCTCTCACGAGATGGTGTTCTCTTTCTCTTACTTGAGTCTTGTTATACAAAGATAGGCGTGAAGGTTATGTAGCTTGATTAGGAAGTATTTATACTCCTGTCTACGAAAAGTCTTTTTGAACCGTTTTGGTATGAAGACGTGCCTACCTAGCTACTTTGCACACATCGTGCTCTTTTATACACGAAAGTGGGTTTATTAAACTTTTTTGTTTGGTATTTAGCAGCCTGATCAAGCAAGAGCAATTTATGCTCCTTTTCCTTGATCATGTGGAGGGTCGATGAAATCAAGGGGTGTCGGAAGCTTTGTTTGTGCCCTTGTAACATATCCATAAGTTGGCGGTCCTCTCTATGGGTGAAAATTTAACTTGTACTGCAAAGGAACTAGCATCATCTCGTAGTACTTCCCCACTAAGATACAACTAGTATATATATTCCAAAATCTGATTCTCATCAATGAGAGGCCGCCTCGCACTTGGCTTTTTACCCATATTTTAGTTAAGGCGGCAACGTCATTTAAGATAGACTTGTCATGGTAGGATTTTGAATATATAAAGCTGCATATCGACCCCTTTTTAGCTTTAAGCACAGAAGACTCACGCGAGGGGGTTGAGAACTCATCCACGCTTATGAGATAAGTTCTCAAGATGGGTCCAAGGTTCATGACAAGGACATCCTTCATAGACCATACACTAGCCTCCCTAGATCACGTGTTAACACAGATACTAGCAATTTAAACTATGACAAACTTCGAATTTGCTTTATGGTGTGGCATTACTCAAAATTTTTATAATTGAATGCATAAATGCACATACAAGATCCTTTTCCCAAATTCATGAACATTCACAATATCATGGTATATAGAATGAAGAACAATCTACCTAAATCCCACCCCTGACTTTAAATGGGACAATGTTCTTATTGGACCAAACAAGGAGTACAAAGTAAAATAGAAAGAAATTTACCGGTTTTCTTGAAATCTATGAAGCTTGGCCATTTCCTTGATGATTGGTTTCCATGAACAAATGACAAAAACAAAACAAATTGGGTTATCTCTCATCAGTATTTTTGTTTAACGTCTTTAAGTTAGACACTAGGCATGGGTTGCCTCATAAAGAGCGCTCTCTCTTTTACGCCTTTGAGCTGTGCGAAGGTTCAATTCAATGGTCGATGAGTAATTTTAGCACCTCCACCATGCCAAAAGGATCTTGGTCCATGTAAGACTCTGCCCGCTGCCCATTGACCTTAAAGGAGTGCCCCACGTCACTCAACAGTTCTACTTCTCCATATGGAAAAACTCTTTGATGACAAAGGGCCCGAATCATTTTGATTTGAGTATACTAGGAAATAGAGGGTGTGGCCCATTAACTCAAGTAAAGGCTGTAGAGTTACATTCAAACTTCTGTGTACTTTGCTCGAGTAAGAGCTTAGATTTCGTAGGAGAGTATGCGACTAAGGAGAAGTTGTCATCATCGATGGTGGTACCCTACTTCTCTTCTATGTATTTATTTCTAAATTGATTGTATGTGGATGTGCACTCGTTTATCATTGTATGTATTGATGCTATGATTTCATGTCATGCTTGTGTTTATACTTGTGGATTTTGATGCTCATTGTGTATGCATGGATGATTGGTTTTTTATGCTTATGTGATGATCATTGTTGTTTATCTAGTATGAATGCTTCTTTATCATTGATGCTTGTGATTCTATAGTATGCTACTATGAATTGTGCTTAGTATCATCTAGGTTGACAAGAAATTACCCTCTAGTACCCCATTGATGTTATAAGAATATAGAGGGATTGATAAACCATCTATACCTTGATTAGTATCAATGTTTGATTGTTAGATCATTGATTCTGTAGACCATCGATTATGGCTCGCAGAGGCCCACACTTAATCATGAGTTATCCTAACTTCCTTGTTCTTCATTAATTAGGTAATGAGATGAAGTGAAAGCATGCATTAGCTAGTAAAATCTCTATCGGATGAGTCACATGCACGGGTAGAGAATGGCCTTAGTCATTAGTGGAAGGGATAAAATGATGCTATAGATGAGTCATTGATGCATGATGTGAATGAGTATTAGTATTCATGAAATCTTAACTTCTTATACAATAACGTATCTTTACTTTTATGCATTTATAAATTGAAAACCCTAAACAACGACAATATTCTTGCTTGTTAGTCAAATGAAAACCCCTAAATGCTTCTATTGTTTTCGTGTGAGCCAATGATGGTATGGTGTGACCATGTGAGTAGTTATGCATTAGAAGTCCTTGCGGAATACGACCTTAGGACATCATAGGATTATAACTTCGATCTATGCCACATAAGCTACATGAGTATAGAGGAAATGAACAACCATCTATACCTCAAGTAGTATCCATGCTTGATCGTTAGATCATAGATGCTATAGACCATTGATTATGTCTCAATAGGCCCACACTTAATCATGTGATATCCTCACTTCTGTGTTCTTCATTGATAAGGTGATGGCATGAAGTGAAAACACGCATTAGCTAGTCAAGTTGCTATTGAATGTGGCAAAAGCTCGAGTAGGATGGCTTTGGTACAAGGGATATAGTGATGGTATAGATGAATCATTGATGCATGATATGAATGAGTATTGATATGTATGATAGTACTCGAGTATGATTTCTTGTTCAATAACGTATCTTACTTTTATGCATCTATATAACTTGAAAACCCCATAAACAACTTTACTCTTCTTGCTTTGTCGTGCTTTGCTTGTTTACTAAAAAGTAAAAAACACAAAGTCTTTACTATTCCTGTTCGAGCATAGATGGTGTGATTAGTTATGCATTAGAAGACCTCGTGGAATACGACCCTAGAGCATCTTATGACTTTATCACTTGCATGTTACATATGCATCAAGTTTTTTGCACCATTGCATGGGAATTCTAATCATATGTAGAAGCATCTAACCATCTTATGTCTCTTTGTAGTTTTAAGTTCAGTATGTTTTGCAGGTTGTCATATGAGTCCAATAATTACAAGAAGAAAACCCAAAAACCTAAAGATAGTGCAAGAGATCATCTAAGAAGGCGGGGCATTGAGTTCAACAATCTTGAGGATGAAGGAAGGAGAATCTAGCTCAGAAGAAGAGTGGCCTTCAAGTAAAACCAATTCCAAGCCAATCATGGAAGAGGAGGAGAACATTGGCGGAGACAGCAACTTCGATTCTGAAGAAGAAGAAGAAGAAGAAGAAGAAGCTTGTTCAACATCTTCAACACCATCAATATATGGAGAATAAGTAGAAGGAAGAATGGCCATCCCACCTACTATTTATGAGTATTCAAGGCCAAGATCATCAAACATCATCTCAAGCATTGTTGCACCACCTACTAACATCGATATATGCACTCAACTAATCCAAATAATGCAACAAGCTGGGAGATTTTTCAAGAAGGAATGATTATGATCATGTGCAACATCTGAAGATATAGTTAGAGATTGTCGATTCCATTCCATGAGATTAATTTACCCTTGCTAAAGTACTCATTGAAGAGTACTTCCCAACATGGAAAAAAGAGCTTAAAGATGAAATCACTCAATTTCAACAGTAGGTAGGAGAGACATTCTATGATGCTTGGAGGAGATTCCAAGAGTAAATCAATGTGTGCCCCTATCATGGATTAAAACCAAAGCATATTACAAAGAACCTCACCAAAGGCTTAAATAGAGATACCACTATGATGGTGAACTAGTCAGCCAATGGAGATTTCACAACAATGATGTGAGCATAATACCAAGAACATTTTGCCACACCGGCAAGGAAGTCAAAGAACTGGTCTAAACAACCATCAACAATCAAACCATTGAAGGCTATCCAAGGAAGTGAGGATGATGTCGCCACCCTTAGTGATCATATGAAGGAGCTGACAAAAAAACTAAAGAAAGCATCAATTGAGTAAATGAACGGACAAGTGGCATCTCTGTTCGTTTGTGAAGCATGTGGAGAAAAAGGCCACGAAGGTGTCGACTGCTATAGCCATGGAAGGAATTGACATGCCGATGTCAACTATAGTAACCAAGGCTACCAATCAAGACCTCAACAAGGAAGCTATCCTCCATACCAAAGTTTCAACCAACCCCGCATACCTTTTGGTCAATGGCCTACCCAAGGAGGAAAGAAGTCTGAGGACTACCCCCAACATCACATTTACCCAATGTAGTCAAAAATACGATTCTACCTAGAAGCGGAGAAGGGGTACAATCATAAAGCTTAGTACTGAAGAGTAAAAGCGTATGTTTGTAATGCATCATGTAATAATAACTAAAATCGGTTAAGTATGGCATTTACTATACAAAATTTGAGTATAGATTTTAGATAATTGAATAACCACCTACAAACTCATAACATCTTAACCATAAGTTCTTAAACATAAAACATAAGTAACTCAAAAACGAGTGGAAGAATACAAATTCCGATAAGCTAGTTTTAGATTACATAATGACAAATGAGTTTAATAGACCAAGTTCCTGAAAATTAAAATTAATGCACACAGATATTATGAATGATCACAAAGAAAACTACATTTAGTCATCGCCTTCAACGTTTGCATCCAAATCATCATTCTCTTCGCTTTACTACGTGACATATTGTTACTTGCACTAGTACTAGTACTAGTACCACCACTTGACATCAATACAGTTCTGCAGAAGTTCAACAAAGGCCTTAAAATCGTTCTGGCCATTTCAAAGAACATCAATATAATTCAGGATCAAGGAAACAGTTGGTTCAAAGTTAGTTTAAAATAGTTATGTCCAATTCAAAGAACATCAATATAGTTTAAAATAGTTATGTCCAGTACCAGTACCACCAAGTTCCTGAAAATTAAAATTAAAGCACACAGATATTATGAATGATCACAAAGAAAACTACATTCAGTCACCGCCTTCAACGTTTGCATCCAAATCATCATTCTCTTCGCTTTACTACGTGACATATTGTTACTTGCACTAGTACTAGTACTAGTATAGTACCACCACTTGACATCAATACAGTTCTACAGAAGTTCAACAAAGGCCTTAAAATCGTTCTGGCCAGTTCAAAGATCAATATAATTCAGGATCAAGGAAACAGTTGGTTCAAAGTTAGTTTAAAATAGTTATGTCCAATTCAAAGAACATCAATATAGTTTAAAATAGTTCTGTCCAGTACCAGTACCACCAAGTTCCTGAAAATTAAAATTAAAGCACACAGATATTATGAATGATCACAAAGAAAACTACATTCAGTCATCGCCTTCAACGTTTGCATCCAAATCATCATTCTCTTCGCTTTACTACGTGACATATTGTTACTTGCACTAGTACTAGTATTAGTACCACCACTTGACATCAATACAGTTCTGCAGAAGTTCAACAAAGGCCTTAAAATCGTTCTGGCCAGTTCAAAGAACATCAATATAATTCAGGATCAAGGAAACAGTTGGTTCAAAGTTAGTTTAAAATAGTTATGTCCAATTCAAAGAACATCAATATAGTTTAAAATAGTTCTGTCCATTACCAGTACCACCATTTGCAAAACGAGCCCTATCAACAAAACTAAGAAGCAACACATGCCAAGGAGGCATACATGCTGCAAATTTCCCCAAACAAAGTCAAGATCAAAACCTAAAAACCAGCTTTGTAGGTCGTCGGTGGTTCGAAGTCCATGATTGACAATTCTAATCTAAATATTAACCCCCTATTTCACAACCTTCACAAAAGAAAAAAGCTAGCAGCGCATGCCATTGAAAGAGAATCTACAAGCAACAGAGGCCAGAAAATTAAAATCCCTAGAAAGGTGAATTAATTACAAACATGGAAACAATTGAAACGAGACCAAGATGCAATTGAAAACCAGAGTGAGCTCTCACCTTAGACGAAGAAATCCCAAATCCAGCACTGCAACAGCTCCCCTCTGATCGGAGAGTACAAACCTTGCCAATGACAATGGACTTCAACAACCAAGAAAGAGATGTTGAGGAGGGAGCGGCAAAGAGATGTTGCATGCAAAGGAGGGAAGCGAAAATGGAAACGCCTCTTAGAGCTTGCAATCAATCAGTCGGCAAAGATGGAAGGAGCCAAGGAGGGTGCGGCTTGAGTTTGTGCTAGTGCTGGAGAAGAGTTAGGGTTCTAATCCCTAAAATCGAAGAATGAAGCTCTCTAGCCTTGGCAGTAGGTAAGAGGAGTGGCCAATGCTTTTTTTCTAGACAAAATATGGTAAAAACGCTACAAGCGTCATGGAAACTCGTTTTTACCCTGTTTTTATGTTTTAACAATTTTAGCTACGTTTTTTTTTTTACGTTTTTGTGTACGAAGAGATTTTAGGTAGAAACTGAAGCGTTATAGTGGTATAGATAGGTAGAAATGTACTCTTTTATGCTTTAAAGCATGATTTTTACCGCATAGCCTCTACCAATGCACCTTATACTCATGAAGCAAAAACCAAATCCACTTGGATTTGAAAATCAAACTCAATACAAGGCACAAGGAGAAGGTGTCTCCAATCAGTCCTAGCCAGATTCGATAAGCTTGAGGCGACAGTGATATGATTGCAAATAATCTACAAGAATATCGAAAGACAACTTGCACTCCTCATTGGTGCTCAACCTCAAAAGCCTCCAGGGAACCTCCCAAGCAATACAGAGAACAGTCCAAAGAAGGAGGAAATCAAAGTCATCTCGACAAGGGTGGGAGAAGCCAAAAGTTTCCCAAGCATAAAAAAGGAAGAAGAGATGAAAGGATTTGAGTATCCATCCCTCTTCAGAAATCTGATAGAAGCTTTTGGAGGAGCAGAAGTGATAGTGCCAATATTGGAGAAGCGGATTTCAATGGAAGATCTCAAAGGGAACCTCGATATCTCCACGGAGGAAGATGACATGATTGAAGAAAAGGAGACCACGATAAAAAAAACCCCTTGGGATTGTAAAGAATTCATCCTAGCCAACGAAAGCAAGGAGGATCCTGGGCATAGCATCATAAAGTGTCTTTTAGATGACCATCACATGGAAAAAAGTTCTAGTTGATCTTAGATCAAGTGTCAATAAACTACCACGCATCTATATGAAGAGATGATATTAGCTGACATGAAGAACGTCAACGTAGAGATTATGCTAGCCAACAACACCCCATGCAGATCTCTTGGAGTTGTTAGAAGCTTAAGAAACAATGTTGGCCCTTTCATATTATTCCTCAACATCCTCGTGATAGACATGAAGACAAGCAATTAGTATTCAATCCTCTTTGGGAGACCAATCCTCTTGTACAAAGTCGAGAAGACAATCAAAAGGAGTGATGAATTTGAGGAGTATCTAGAGGAGGATTTGAAGAATGAGATCAAATGGAGGCAAGTTGAAAGAGGCCCCACCCATCCTTGATCTGAAGCTAGCTCAAATGGCACTCAAGATAGCCAATGCAAGGCCAAAGACGATGCTACAAAGGATTGAGGAGCTGGAGTAAGAGAAATGAAAGGAGTATCACGAGTTCATCCATTATTATTACCCTCACGGGATCAACAAGGAAACAATCATTGCAAGTGTATGGGGAGATTATGATGAAGTGGAGCTTGATTGAGAAAAAACTAAAGGGGGTCTAACTCAAAAGCATAAAAGAGAGAGCACTCCATGGGAGGCAACCCATGTTTGACGTCAAACTTAATGATATTAAAAAAAGTGCTACCAAGGAGACAATCCAAATTTATCTTTCCTCGTTAAATTATTGAAATTCCAAGTTTGTTTTTAGCTTGAGATTTTGAGTTACTCATTGGAGAAATTATTGTATCCCTTTGAATAGGTGTTACATTTGGAGAAAATTTTTGAACTTATGATGAGAAAGAAGGTTTGATGTTGTGAAAAGTAGTATCAAAGCAAATTTTATACTCTCGAGATGAAGAACCCACTTACTAAACGGATGGAAAAGCATAAGAAGAAGAGAGACGATGGTGCTTCTTCTTCCAGAGTACCTAGGCATCCTAGTCTACCATGAGAGGAGCCAGAGTATGCAACACCTATAAGATCTGCACGAATCAACATGAGGGAGCCCATGATTGCAGAGCAAGAGGAGGAAGATTCAAGGAACTCAAGTTCTCAGTATCAATTCGTTCAAATCTCCTCTAGCACAAGAAGTGGAAGGCTATCACTTGATAGCGGGAGGTCAAGATGCAAAATTGGACAGCTTCCACAAGGGACTGAGGTGCACAAGACAGATCACAAGCTTGAGAATAGAGAGAAGGAACCAAAGGTCCCAACTATCGCAGGGCTGCCGCTCAAAGCCTAATCCCCCAAGCAGCTTCCTAAAGAAGCTACTTCGTTAACAAGTCAAAGGAAACCAAGTTCTAGTCGGATAGGGAAGGATTAAGTTGACTTTAGGAGGAAAATAACTAGAAAACCCTTTATATAACTAGTATAGATAAAGGCACATGCCTATACTTTACACACAGCTTTTACCAGCATTCCGCCCCACTGCGCACGAGTGGAAATCCATTGAGAGGAGGAGAATTGCTGCTGAGATTCGGAAGAGAATCATCCACCATCAATGCCTTTATCTAAGGTGATTTTGTTCCACTCTTGTTTGTGTTGCTAGTCGATCTGTTTAGTGTTGTGATTATCGATGCCTATTCCTTTAGATTCTTTATTTTATTCTATATGATTAGTCATCTCTTGTGTATGATCATTGATGCTTTGTTTCATAGGATGTTTTAACCTATCTATCTGGGTGAGCCTATTAAGATGCTACTATATTATTATGATTAATATCATTTAGATGGTCAAGAATTAACATCTATGATATCCCATTGCCTTGTGTATGCTTGTTTAGTTGAATGCATCTATGCTTGTTTCCATAAGATGATGTTTGATTCTTAGATCATTGATGCTATAGACTATGGTTATCGTTCGTAGAATCCCACAATCAACAAAATTTTATCCTAACTTTCGTGTTTTTCATTGATTAGGTGACGACATAAAGCAAAAACACGCATTAGCTAGTCAAATCTCTATCATAAGAGCTGCATGCATGGGTAGAGAGTGGTCTTAGAGGAAGGGATAGAGCATCATGTGAGATGATGCATAGATACATCGTATTGAAGTGATTGTATGCATGGCCATCTAAAAGGAATTTCCTAAACATTAGTAGGAGAAGGTGCAGCTAATGACATGCATTCCTCGTCGGTGGTCATGCCCTCCTTGTTTATTTATGTATAGCTAGCTTGACATTGATTTTATGAGAATGTGAGCTCGCTTATGATAAGCCCTAAACCTCGAGGTTGTTGATCAGAGTACACAAAACCCAAAATCCACCAACTTGCTGGATGAAAACAAAATTAAAAGGAAAAAAACAGAGTAACGAGGATAGAGTTGGCAGGTGCAACTTCAACACTAGTGGCTCGCCACGACTACACCGCGAATTAACCCCGACTAGAGCCCAAGTTTTTAAACTCTAGCTGGGTGCAGAATAGGGAAAGTATTTAATTGTCAAACCTGGGCCGGTCCATGTACCCCTACTTCATTCGCTTAAGCTGTTATCTAGCAAAACGATTTTGGGTTTAAAACTAAGGGAACTACAAAATAAACAAACAAGGAAAGTAAATCGAGGGGAATTCTATATGAGAGGACCTCACCCGAATACTGCTCCCCCTAGTCTCGTGCTAATAATCAATGAACGAAACTCTAGTGTGAATGGTATGTTTATATACCGTGAGGCGGGTGCAACAAGCTGGGAATGAGCCCTCCTAGTTGATCAATCAAGGATTGCTACAATAAGCTAGTGAACCTAGCTCTCTTAATCAAACAAACTGAGGAAACCCTAACTCTCTTAGTTGACCAATTAAGGATTGTTGCATTAAGTTAGTGGACTAAATCTCTTCACCTTTCGGCTAAGAATGACAATAATAGGCTAGACGCTCTAGCCCTCTTAACTAATCAGCTAAGGGTTGCAAGACCCAACCCTCGAAAGTTAATCCTAACAGTGAAGAGCGACCAACTATGATGGGATCATGGTACTACTCCTATACTTGAGGTTTTGGCCCTAGATTAACCCAAAAGGGGTTACCCAAGTCGTTAGGAGATGAAGCTCCCTATGGGCCAAAGGAGGATTTCCACCTTCTAGGTTAATTTGACCCAATAATGAGATAAAACAAGCAACACCCAATCATTCATGATTAATACCTCACATATTATATAAAACACACAATCAACACAATAGAATCAAGTTCTTACATCCTAACACACATCTAGACTAGGATTCACAATACCCAAGTGAGTAGGAAGGCTAATCCATAGCTAGGCAAAGGAAAACAACAGAAAGGAGAGAAAGAACCATGGAGAAATGAAAATCTTTCTTCCTTCTTTCTTGAATTTCCCTTAAGAAGAATAGATCTTTAATCTTCCAGCTTGAATTGTGCCCAATCTCCTTCTCCCTCCTTTGAATGAAAATTTCTCTCTCTAGAATGGGAAGAGGAAACCCTAATCTATCTCTAGAAAACCCTATTTATTCTGAAAACTAAAATCCTAGAAAAGATCTCCTTCTTCCTCCTTTCAGCTCTCTATTTATACCCAGTTTTGCCCAGTTCACGGTCCCAGTTCACGGTCGTGAACTAATGGCGGGGATCGTGAACTCATGCCAAGACGCGCCATTTCATTAAGCTAGTTCGTGGTCCATGGCTTCAGTTCACAGTGTTGTGACCGTGAACTGACTCGACGTCAATAACCTCTGAAAACTCTCTGGAACCTCGCCAGTTTGCGGTTTGTGGCTCCAGTTCACGGTCTTCGATTTTTGCGCTTTCCGACCTCAAATCGTCCCGAAACTCGTCCTCAACCCTTCCACACTTCGAGTCAGTTCATGGTCTTCGATTTTTGTGCTATGACCTGAAATGTATCAAAACAAGCACAACCTAGCGTGAAATATGTCGAGGGACGATGTAATGCAAAGCCAAACTATCAAGAAATGAGGGGTAAAATGTGTACAATTGGACCAGAATCACCTCCATCCCCCCCCCCACACTTGAACGTTTGCTATACCCAAGCAAACCAATCTCGAACAATGTAATATTTCAACCCAAATACAAAAACTTGGGGACCAATCAAAGGGCACACAATGGATGAATCTCAATGTTTATTTGGAATCAACAAATGA